AGATAAAGAGTTAAGTTTTTTTTAAATTATATAATGCTATAATTTGAGATCTCAAGCAATTAATTAACGGTAATTGTTGTGCATGATCTTCCATATTATTTAGTGGTATTTTGGTTGCGGTTGTTGAACTATTAATGCATTTGTCTTTACAAAAATAATGTTTCATAAAATCAGTGCAATTGTGAATTTGTATTTAGTAATATCAGTATCATTGATCTAACGTCTTATAGAGGAAGTTATAGTTTCTAGATTGGTATTTTTTATATGCATAACACTTATTGGTGCAGATAATTAACATAAGTGTAGTGTAGTCAATGGAGTTTAACCTATGAGGCAACAGAACATTTAAAATGTAATGCAGACGTTAGCAAACTGCCATGTTCTTTGTGATAATTTTTTTTTAATTTAAGGATTCTTTTGTATGTATCCAGCATTGTGCTTTAAGTATGTCAATCACATTTTAGAAAAGTAAACATATTGAAATTAACAAATGAAAAAAATTCATATAAAGTATATTCTTAATCTAAATTTAGTAGAAAAAATATTAGAAATGTCTTATAAATGTTCAAAAATATTCCCATTTCTAAAATGGTCAAGGAAAAATTAAAGAAAAACTACTCTTCATTTTTAAGATGATTTTAAAAAATGGATGTTGACCTACTTACAGTTGGCAATCAGTTATAGTACTAGTTAAAATGTATTTGCTTAAGAATATTTGTATACAGCTTGACTGAAATACTTAATACATTTTTTTGACACCTTCATTGCAATGTTATTAAACTAATAAGAAGTAATTAATATTAAACTGAACCCATTTAGAAGCAGCACTACATGTAGTATTGTTATTGAAGTTAGTCAGATACTAAATGTAGTATTGTTATTGAAGTTACAGTCAGATACTCATGACACATTTGCTCACTACAGTACTGGTATTGATATTTTATTACTATTTTTAAAACTCCATAGTAGAATGTAGTTTTATTAGTCATCTAACATTGGTGTATTAAAAACATTTGCTATTGAAAAAAACATCAGATATTTATGTTTTGACTTAAAATGGAACTCTCCACTGTAAGAGATGGACTAAATTCTAAAGGACCAAATGATCTGAATACAAGTTTATTTGTTGTTTCTTTTTTAACTCTGCATAAAATGAGTCACGTATTAAAGATGGCATTTAAACATTTTGTTTGTTGAAGAGTCTTCAATCTACTTCCTCAGAATTTGTTTTTGTCAAATTGACTTATGGACCTAGTCTTACACTTTTTAAAACTTAATTTGTATCTTTGTTGATCTGCTTTTTTATATTCTTTTTTATGACATGAGATTGAATACTGCTGCTTTTGGGTCATTATTACAATATTATCCTTGCTTTGAATATTTGTATGCCAGTATATTAATGTAAAGTATTATATGAACTCTGAATTTTAAAACTATAGTTCTTGACTTCATGCATATGTTATCCTATATTTTGATCTATTTGACCAAATGTTCAGGAAAGATGTATAGCAATAAAATAGTTCATACTGAACATTATTGTTCACTTTTTTTGTTGTTTACCTATTTGAATATGAATACAGTTCAAATCATAATTATGGTTTTAGTTTTAATTACGAAAGTGAAATTTTAGAAAATCAAGATGTCAATGTGGCTATCCACTGCAAAGGTGGCACCTGGTCGTGTGGTTTGTGCTTTTGAACCCTGCCCACCATCATCCTGGTGGAGTTTTAGGCTTGGATGTAATGATCTTCAAATCTGAAGGAACACCCAAAACAGATAAATCAGATACAGATATGTCAGTGATGTTTGAAAGCCCTACATTGAAATAAAAAAAAATATCTAACATTCTTCAAAAGTGATATAGGCCTATTTACAGGAAATCTTTTGTTTGTTTTTTTTTTTTGCTTATATCAGATATTCAAATTTTCAGCACTTTTGAGAACTTTGATCTGCATTTTCATGCGTTTTTGAGACCTTCTTGGACCGGAAATGCTCAACTGCACTCTAGGCAAGCTATTCCTGCTCGAGTGAGTGGCCTTGATTTTCTTCTCTGGCGCTTTTCTTCAGTCAAGTCTGCCTCCTCGTCCTCGACTTTTTTTTTGCGCTTGATTTCCCATCGCGGCGCCACGCATGCTCCATCCTTTGCACCCGTCTCCCAATGTCCATGTTGTAGTTTCTCATGGAGGCTCTGAGGGTGTCCCTGGGGCGTGTTTATTTGACCACCTTCGGCTCGCTTCCCATCCGTCAGCTGGCTTTTAGGGGCGAGGCAGACCTTTTAGGGGCGTGGCAGATGTCCATTCTGCCAATTCCCAATTGAGACATCATCATGGTTGAATGGGTGCTATGCGGAGCCCGCTCTCTAGAGAACTTCTGTCAGGTAGGCCCTACCTTGTCGCTGCAACTTTAAAACGTTCAAAGTTTGTTTTTAAAAGAATGTGAGCGATTCAGTTTCTTTGCATACCATCTATATGGACCAGTGCGTAGACCAACGAGGTGAGTATAAAAGCCCAATAGACCCATATTTTTGTACAAGTGGTGATGCCTCGTCTGTTCCACACATTTATGGACAGTTTATGCACCGGTCTTGGCAATTCGCTTGTCAATTTTGTTACCGTTTCTGCAAAGTGTAGGCCCACAGCTAAGATAAGTAAATCTATCTACTGCTTTAATTATCAGTTCGTTTAATTTGATTGTTGTCTGAATAGGCTTTTCGTGGAGCTGACAGGCAGGCCTAAAGGACCTTCGACTTTTTAGCACTTCTCTTTCAGAGTTCTTCTCTGCTTGCAGATGTTAGATGCACATACATTGAGAACAGGTCAGTATTTTGTGTGATGGCCTTGTACCTGCAAGCTCGTATCGCGGAGAAAAGAAAGTATGTAATAACTCATCTAATTATATTATATATATTTATATAGCCCACTGTGTTTGTTTGTTTTTTAATATGTTTTAGTAAATAAATATTTAATTCACAATTTAAAGTGTACACGTTAACCATAATCATGTTTTATTTTACACTGCAGCTAGAAAATGTCTTGACTTAATTAGGACCAGGTAGCTGTTGTCATTGAAATGTCGGAAAGTTTTTAGATATATATTTTGTAAACAAATGAGGCAGGTCAACACAATATGTCATGAAAGTTTGTAGGAAAGGCCAAGAATTAACGAAATCTTCTAGAAAAGTCTTTTTAGAAGACTATAAAGGGAAAACGATGCAAGATGGGTTATAGGTCAGTAGGCATTGGTCTGATTGGTTAGTACTAGTAGGCCTAGTTATTTAGTACCTTATCTGTCTTAGTTCACTGGTCAATTTATTAAGATTGATTTATTTTTGTTGGTTATGCTATACTTTAGTAGGCCTAATTATATATAAAGGTTTACACATGTGATCTATGTTTGACGTTATTGTTAGTTCATAGCTGGATTGTCCATTTTCTTTGATTGAGTTTTGAAGATATCAAACTCAAAACAATTCCGACACTGCGTTTCTTCAGTGAGTTACACACGGAACCTGCAAATGTTTGATTGGATTGAGAGACAGCTGGAATAATAAACATTGCAGGTTAAATGAAAACACAACCCACATCCATTCAGTGTTTCCACTATGTTGTAAGCCAGGGCTATACCGGTACTAATAGAGTGGTTATATTAACGATACTTTAGGTTGTTAATCTTTGGTAGCAGGTCAAATCCTGCTAATGGTTCACTATTTCATAGTAATGTCAATGACAACAGCTTTGACGAAGTTTTGTATTTGTGTATTATGTTATCTGTATAAATCTAAATTTAGCTGGTTTAGACACTGAGCTGACACAAGAATAGGAAAGGCTTCTGCAGCAATGGGAAAACTTTCTAAGCGCGTCTGGGAAAATGCCAAATTGACTACGGCTACCAAAATTCTAGTCTACAATGCCTGTGTTGTGAGCACTCTTATTAATGGCAGTGAGAGCTGGTCGACATACATGCGTCATGAGCACAGGTTAAATAGCTTTAACTTACGCTGCCTTCGACGCATAATGTGCATCTTCTGGAGGGATTATGTCTCCAACAAGGACGTTCTGAAACGGACCAATATACACAGCATCCAAGCTCACCTGACACAGAGAAGACTACACTGGCTCGGACGTCACTCGCATGCCAGATGGAAGAATCCCTAAAGACATCCTATAGGCTGAGCTTGCGGAGGGAGTCAGACCCAAGTGCTGCCTAAGACTAACCCACAGATATGTCTGCAAGCGAGACATGAAAACCACAGGCATTAACGAAAGTATGTGGGGGTGGAGAGATAGCCCAAGACCGGACTGCATGGAGACAGACTGTGACGTGCTGGTACGAACTTCGCCGAGTGCAAAAGAAACGAAGCCTGCATCAGTCAAGAGAAAGAAAAAGTAAGCTGCACTGCCAACTAGCCATAGGACAGATGCTATTGTTGTGGCAAACTGCCGCTCCAGAATTGGCTTGATTAGTCACTCCATATTCTGCCCCGTCTTAAGACGGAACCAAAACAATGACTCATCTGGGCGCTTACATTGTCTTCTGAGACAAAAGGAGCCATAACTATCTGTATAGCATAGAGAAACTTGAACCATTAAAATATTGATAGGTTCTATGTATGAAAGTTGGTCTAGGCACAAAGATGGAAGCACATTTCTTATTACATATGCTAGGACAAAGCTGTGCAATTCTTCCCTAATGCCATTAGAGAATAGAATGGGTTGCCTGAATCAGCCAGGAAAACCAATGACTTAGGCTAGCAGAGTGTAAGTCACTGATTAATGTACATGACTAGATTGACAAAAATGCATAGGACATAATTATCTTATCTTTTGAAGTAACATCTGTAATATATAAGATAAGATATCTAGTGGTGCATTTATTTTTTAAATTGCTATCTTCCTTCTTCAAAAGATGGGAAGTATTCTTTAGAAAAAAACATAAAATATAGTAAGTGAAATAAATAAATAATTCAACATATATTGTAAGAATACAATCAAACAAATTGCATTTTGGTTTACAATGTATTTTATTGTGAACAAATCTGGGGTTGGTATACATCCCTTCACAACCTGACATCAATCTTACAGCAAAGACAGTAATAAAACCTTTACAATAAATAGCTTATTCCAGTCACACAGTTACATGTTCTAGATCAACTTAAATAATACATACAAAAATATAAATGCATAAAGTTTGTAAAAATTGATATTATGAATGAACAAAAAACATTTTTATCCACAATGAATTGCCAGATAAAAAACAAGCCATTCTTGAATATCATTATTATGATATGTTTCATTTCTGACAGAAAAAGGCATGAAATAATAACAAATAAACAGGATCTAATGAATAACATCTAGCCCTGGCAACCCTGTTAACAACAATGTACTCTAGCCTAACAATATAAAAAAAAGATGAATTGTTTTACAAATAAAACCTAGACATTTGAACTTAGAATAAATATTTTTAACAAAATTATCTTCAAGCTCTTTTTTTTTCAGAGTTTGTTAAGTCAAATGATCTTCCTGCTGGTTCATATGATTCAGAAACATGTTTCAATCTTAAATTGGAAAGACTTTAGATCTGGGTAATTTATCTTCTATTTTTTGAAGTAACATCTGTAATCTACAAGATTGAATGCATGATGAAAACAATGCAAACTCTTTGTAAATACATTTTCCCTTCACAACAACTATGAAGTGACCAATTTACTGCAAAGTTTGAAACCTAAGAGTTAAAATTATGTCCACTCACTCCTAACTTTTTTTTTTTTTTTTTTTGTTGTAATTTTTGAACAAATTTGAATATAAAACACCACATTAGTAAACCTAAAAAAAACCAACAATTATGCCTTAACATAAATAAATATCTTTGATTCCACTGGATGTAACTATATTCTTAATTTTTGCATAACAAATTGAAATTTGAACCCAACTTGTAGACATTCTTGATAGCGTGACCTTAACATATTTTTGGTCGATACTTGTATGAGATAGAAGGCCATAGTAAACTGATACCCGCTAACACTCCAGACAGTATGTAGATGTTGATGACAGTACTCTCTTTTGGAAGAAAACACTGGAAGGCTGTGTGGTTCACGCTGTTGACTCGAAGCTAGGTCATGAATAAATAAAAGAGAAAATGAATCTGACTGAGGCTAAGTCATAAGTAAGAGAGGAAATAAATCTAACTAAAGGTAAGTCATATGTAAGAGATGTAATAACTCTGACTGAAGATAAGTCATATGTAAGAGATGTAATAACTCTGACTGAAGATAAGTCATATGTAAGAGATGTAATAACTCTGACTGAAGATAAGTCATATGTAAGAGATGTAATAACTCTGACTGAAGATAAGTCATATGTAAGAGATGTAATAACTCTGACTGAAGATAAGTCATATGTAAGAGATGTAATAACTCTGACTGAAGATAAGTCATATGTAAGAGATGTAATAACTCTGACTGAAGATAAGTCATATGTAAGAGATGTAATAACTCTGACTGAAGATAAGTCGTATGTAAGAGATGTAATAACTCTGACTGAAAATAAGTCATATGCAAGTGAGGAAATAAATTGGAATAAAATAAGTCCTATATGCAAGATAAATATAAAGCAATATATCTGAATAAGTTCAATCGTAAGGCAATAAATCTAAATAACTTCAATCTTAAGGCAATAAATCTGAATAAGTTCAATCATAAGGCAATAAATCTGAATAAGTCAAGTGTAAAAGGAAAGAAACCTATCAGAATATAAAAAAGTGTACACATTCAAACACCACAACATGCTTACACAGATAAGATATTTTTTATTTTTTTTCCTATCTAACTGTTTCTATTGAACATTTTTCTTACCATCAAAAGTGTTGGGTTGTTCCTATTGCGCCAACTAAAAGATGACACACTCCATTCAGGGATATTATTGCTATGCACTATATAGCATCCATGATGCGTGTGAGCACTGATAACAAGGCGAGGTTCCAAGGTTGAAAACAACTGAAAAAAAAATGTGTAAAAAAAATACTTTTACTATTATATAAAAGTAGTTAATAATATAAAGGGGAGCAATTTTATAAGTCTCACTTGCCAGTACATAGTATCTCCATGGCAAGTCATATGCAGTACCTCCTTGTGGTGGCAGATGGAAACTGTGGCTGCAAAGCCTCAGGCTAAACTGCAAGGGTCTCGGAGGAGGTTTGGCTCCAAGATGTGAGGCTGGCATGGCCCGTCGGCGTGCGGACACGCCCTGCTGCCCACAAACCAAACCCCTAGCTATAGGTAAATAGCCGCACTGCCTTGTGTGTGTGTCCCTGTAAGGTCTAAGGCTAAGGGAGTAAACCCTAACAGAAAATAAGACTACTGCTCTCTGGCAAACTCCTGCAGCCACCTGTCCCCAAATTGTGATGGTTCGCCATCCCTTTGGACCCGGTCAGTATGGAAGAGAGGCGTGTGCAGAAGTGTGGGCAGCCCAGCACTCGCAAATTTACCGCCCAGGCTTTCCCCCAGCAATGGAGAGGTCACTCCATCTCTGACAGTAATGTCTTTGAAAAAACACGGAGAGTGGTAGTTACCGGTGATAAGTTCCTAGCTGATTGGCGTAAGCTGGAACGCCAGAGACCACTCTTGACGGTAGGAGGGACTTTTTAGCCTCACTGGATAGCTACTGCCTGCCTTAATCTGAGCAGCCCCCGGACAATAAAGTGCTATCCCGCCACAGCTTGCCGCACCACTGGGTGATTGGTGCTAAGACAAAATCAAAAAGCAAGCTGCTCACCCGCACCTGCAAATATAATCAAAAGAAAACCCTCAACCCCTCAACATTAATGCGTTTAGCAAGCTGGAACATACGGACAATGTGTCCTGGCTTCAATACTGACCCTGAACTCGTCACCGACATGCGTCAAACAGCTATCAGACAGAGAACTCAGCAGACTAAACATTGATGTGGCCTGCCTGCAAGAAACCAGACTGGCAGACAGTGGATCTCTTACAGAAAGCAACTATACATTCTACTGGCAAGGAAAACCAGAACAAAGACCTAGAATACATGGCGTCGGCTTCGCAATAAGAAACAGTCTCGTCCCCTGCATCGCGATGTTTCCCATTGGCAATGAAAGAGTAGCACACATGAAATTTGCATCACCGCAAGGCAAAGTTAATATATCTGTGCTTACTCACCATTCCTTGCTGCATCGGAAGAGGACAAAGACAGATTCTTTCAAGCTCTAGAGGACGTAATTAAAAGTATTCCAAAATCCGAGCACCTCTATATAAATGGAGACTTTAATGCCCGTGTTGGCGATGGAAATGATGCATGGCCACAATGCCTGGGATCTCATGGTGTTGGCAAAATCAATGACAATGGCCAAAGGCTACTCGAGTTCTGTAGCTCTCATGAACTGTGTGTAACAAATACATTCTTCGCTGGCAAGGAGCGCCATAAAGTCTCTTGGCAGCACTCACGCTCAAAAAGGTGGTACCAGCTTGACCTCTGCATCACCCGAAGGATGGATCTGAAAAGTGTCATCTACACCCGTTCATACCATAGCGCGGACTGCAACTCAGACCACTCACTAGTGCTAAGAAAAATCAAACTACTTCTCAAGAGGGCTTATACTTCCACTCAACCCAGAACTAGGCGAATTAACGTCAACAATGTAGGTAACTCAGAGAAGTGTGCACTCTTTGGCGAGCTCCTGAACAGCTCAATGCCCTCGCTAAGCGATGAAGAAGACATCTCTATCAGATGGGAGAAATTAAGAGATGTAATCTATAGTTCGGCAATCAAGGCCTTTGGACCTCAAAAACACAAAAATGTAGACTGGTTTGAGGCGAATCTAGCACATATGGAACCTTGCATTGAGAAAAAGCGATCTGCACACCTCGCTCACAAGACAAAGCCAAGTCCAAGATCTTTGGAGGCCTTCAAAAGTGCTAATAAAGAGGCGAAACAAATGGCTAGAAAATGTGCTAACAACTTCTGGAGGGATACCTGCAACAGAATCCAAGACAGTCTCCACTCAGGAAACAGCAAAGCTCTATTTGATGGCATTAAAGTGGCCCTGGTCCAACAGTGTCTAAGCCTGCCCCCCTTCTATCCAAATCAGGAGAAAAAATTACAGATCAAACCAAGCAGCTAGAACGATGGACAGAACACTACCTCGAAGTCTATGCCACACAGAATACAGTAGACAATGTCGCCCTGGCTTCTCTACCAGATCTTCCAGTACTGGAATGCCTAGATGAGCTTTCGAGCCTTAGTGACCTCAAAAAAGCAATTAACGCCATAAAAAATAGAAAATCTCCTGGGAGTGATGGTATCCCAGTGGAAGTAGTGAAAGTCAACGAATCACTCCTGCTCCCTGAACTCTATATTCTCCTCTGCCGCTATTGGGAAACAGGTCATGTCCCACACTATAGTCACAATATACAAGAACAAAGGGGATCGGAGTGACTGCAACAATTACAGGGGTATCTCTCTCCTCAGTATAGTGGGCAAGATCTTCGCTAGAGTGGCACTACCCAGGCTGCAAGTGTTAGCTTCTAGAGTCTACCCAGAGTCTCAGTGTGGATTCAGGAGTGGTAGATCCACTATAAACATGATATATTCTCTACAACTAGGAGAAATTCAGAGAGAGAGACAGACCCCTTTACATCGTTTTTGTTGAACTGACTAAAGCTTTTGACATGGTCAGCAGAAGTGGCCTTTTCAAACTCCTGAGGAAAATAGGTTGCCCTCCCAAACTACTGAAATTCATTGAGTGTTTTCACGAGGAAACTAAATGTACTGTCAAATTCAATGGAGCCCAATCAGCACCGTTTGAGGTTTGCAGTGGTGTCAAACAGGGATGTGTGCTCGCACCTACTCTGTTTGTCATATTCTTCGCCTGTCTACTGCATTTTGTGTACAACGACATAAACCAAGGTGTGTTTCTCCATTCAAGATCCTCTGGAAAACTATTTAATGTATCAAGGCTGCAGGCAAAAACCAAGGTTAGGAAGCTACTCGTCAGGAAACTCCTGTATGCTGATGATGCAGCTATTGTGGCTGATTCTGATATTCAGCTACAGTCCTTGATTGACAAACTATCTGCTGCTTGCCAGAAGTTAGGCTTAAACATCTGTCAAACCAAGACTAAGATACAAACACAAACACTGCACCTCAAGTAAGCATTATTGGCCAACCACTAGAAATTGTTGATCACTTTTGTTACCTCCATCATATCCAACAACACTTTACTGGATAAAGACATAATCAACAG